TGCAGGGTTTCGGGTTATAGGGGCTGCATAGTGTCAAAGACATGCCTGATCCTCCTTTCGCCATCCTTGGCCCCTTCGACTCGCTCCATAACGCCAGAACCCCAAACCCCAAACCCCAAACCCCAAACCCGAAACCCCAAACCCGAAACCCGAAACCCGAAACCCGAAACCCGAAACCCGAAACCCCAAGCCCAAACCCCCAAACCCCCAAACCCCCAAACCCCCAAACCCCCAAACCCCCAACCCCAAAACCTAAACCCTAAACCCTCTTACCCGCAACTGCCGGCAAGCTTCTCTCACCGCAACGTCCGTAACGTTCGACTCGTTGTTCGGGCCTAGCTCATCTATCTTTAAAAGGATATTCAAGAACTTCGGAGGCTCTGGGTAGATCGGCTCTCCAGGGGCTTTGGTCTCCGAGTCGACTCTACTGGGAGGTTCATGGTACTTACAACCCAATAGGGTTTATTTAGGGTTTAGGGCTTAGGGCTTAGGGCTTGGGGCCTAGGGCTTAGGGCTTAGGGCTTAGGGCTTAGGGCTTAGGGCTTAGGGTACTTTTTAAACCAAATAAAATTGTACTTCTAACCCACCTGAAGTGCCCTAACGTTGTTTAATAAGTACCATGAACCTCCAAGTAGGGTGTTGCAGGTCAAAGACCTGGCAGATGACTGTTTGTGACTGATAAATTTGGGGGTTGACGAAAATCAGGAACCCCTAAAATGGAGCCCCAAATAGTAAGATTCCGGTATAGCAAGGACCCCAAGAAGGTACCCCTCATATCGTAACCCCCGATTTGTCCAGCACGTCCTGAGCACTGCACTTGCCGGCACGCTGGCCTGTAGTGTCGGTCCGGTGGCATTCGTTTCCTGCATCTGGATCGTCACAACAGGTTGAGGAGCTTCGAGTTTGCGGGTGTGGGCTTAGGGTTTAGGGTTTAGGGTTTAGGGTTTAGGGTTTAGGGTTTAGGGTTTAGGGTTTAGGGTTTAGGGTTTAGGGCCTTTAGGTCATCACACGCAATACTTAGTTGTCCTACGGCTACCTGTGCAGAGCACAAGAAGCGCCAAGCCCAGCAGATGCACTCTGCCTGCAAAAGCAAAGTGGGCATTTGGGAGTTTACGCTAACAAGGGGCCCATAAACTAGACCCCAAACTACTCGGATCCCCCTTGCAACAAGGACCTCCCCCCAAATCAGATAATCCTACCGTCCCAGAGAGCACACTACCCCTCAACTAAGGAACCTATACATCATTTGAGGGTTTAGGGTTTAACTTACGTAAGGGGGCATTGGGCTCTCTGGGTTCGGAAGCTCCTATGTCTTGCGGCGGAGCAGAAGCTCGGGCAACTCAACTGGCAACTCACAGGGTCCGAAGTTACGAGCCCTAAACCCTAAACCCCAAACCCCAAACCCTAAACCCTAAACCCCCAAACCCTAAACCCTAAACCCTGAACCCTGAACCCTGAACCCTGAACCCTGAACCCTGAACCCTGAACCCTGAACCCTGAACCAACCCTGAACTCACTCCAAAACCCTAAAGCTCAAACCCTTGCACCCCAAGTTACGAGCCGAGGCCAGGATCTCACCCATGGGCCTTCTCTGTTAGAACACGAAAAACCTGTCTGCAATAGACACTTCTCTGAACCTAAACCCTAAACCCTAAACCCTAAACCCTAAACCCTAAACCCTAAACCCTAAACCCTACACCCTAAACCCTAAACCCTAAACCCTAAACCCTAAACCCTAAACCCTAAACCCTAATCCTAAACCCTCAACCCTCAACCCTAAACCCTAATCCTAAACCCTCAACCCTCAACCCTAAACCCTCAACCCATATAATGTACTTTCGACACTCCCTGTGTAAGGCCCAGAAGAAGTTCAATCCAGAGAGCCCCCTCTATACCCCTTCAACAGGGAATATACCTTAGATGATATTATAGGGATCCTTCACATTCAGGGTCTATTCAGTCGATTTTCCTAAGCCCTCAACCCCAAACCTTAAACCCGAAGCTCTTATGTAAGAGGCATAAAGAGCTCTTTTCAGGGTATCCCTAAACGCTAGAACGGGTCCTCGGCCCACATGAGCGGTATGCTGGGATGCCGTCGGCAACCTCTCCGCGCCCTCCAAAGGGCGCCTCGGCTCTGATTTCGGGCTTCGGGGGTGAAGGGTAGAGGGCTAGGGTTTAGGGTTTAGGGTTTATATAGGGTTTAGCGTCTGGGGTCTAGGGGGTAGGGTTTGGCTTAGGGCTTAAGGCTTAGGGCTTAGGGTCTAGGGTTCCAAGTCCTCAATCTGAAGCGCGTAGCACCCTAAATCTAAGACCCTTCATCCCAAGAGGAAACAATCCGAACTTGATCGATCTCAAGACTAACACCAAGGAAGCGGCATGGCCAAGAAATGTACATGTTTGGGTTTAGGGGCTTCGGGTTCAGGGCTTAGGGTGCTTGGTGCAAGCATTCCCTCAGTGCCCAGAAGACCCCGGCCGTCCCAAGTCAGCGCATTGGCGGCAGCATACGACTCCTCGTTGGTGAAGGAGCCCTGAGAGGCAGAAACTGCGATCAGCACGTGGGGGCTAGTGCGTTCCGTTTGGTTTTGTGGGCTGGGGTCTTTCTCAATCTCCTGACCCTGCTTTTGAGTCAGAAGAGATCATCGTTTTAAGAAGCTCTCCAAGCCCAAATAGCGTCACAGTCTTACCCCGCCTGCAGCGTATTCGTGATACCGTTCTCCAGGCTTCCGCAGGTAGTAGGGCCTTGTGTGTTCCAAACTTGACCGATCCCTACACCCTAAACCCTAAACCCAAAACCCTAAACCCCAAACCCTACGAACACCAAGAGGTCATGGTCCACACCCGTGTTTGGGTTTCGGGCCCACAGCCTACAGAGTGCAAGCATCCCCTCATTGCCCCAAGGTCCCCGGTTTAGGGTTTAGGGTTTAGGGCCCCGGCCGTTCCAGGTCAGCGCATTGGCTGCAGCATACGACTCCTCGATTTTGAAGGAGTCCTGAGGAGCCAAATCAGCGAGAGCGCGCGGGCAGGGGGGGGGGAGGGATTCTGTTGCGTTTGGTTTTGTGGGCTGGGGTCCTTCTCAATCTCCTTAGAGAGAGATAGATCATCTTTACAAGAGGCACCCAACCCTGGCGAAAAGCAAAGGCGCGTCACAGTCTTGCCCAGCCTGCAGCGTTTTCGTGATACCGTTGTCAAGGCTTCGGCAGGAAGTAGGGCCTCGCTTTACAATGGGAATCAAAAAAACTACATAAGAATCAAGGGAGTGGCATGGCCAAAGCTCTAAGGGATACGTGGTCCCCGAATATGGTCCCTTGCCTTCCTTTCTAAAAGGGTTCTGAAGTACCCTTTGGGGTTTTCTAGGGTATCTGAGAAGTAGACCAGGGTTCCCCAAGTAAGGGCCCATATTTAGGGATCATGGAACTACCCCAAGAAACACCTGCTTGGGTTCAGGGCCTACGATCCACAGAGTGCAAGTATTCCCTCTGTGTGCAAAGTCCCTGACCGTCCCAGGTCACAAACGGCTCCTGCTTGATGAGGGAGTCCTGAGCAGAAAAAAAACACCTCGAAACCCTAAACCCGAAACCTAAGGTATTTGCTGCGTTCTGGGAGTCAAGGCTCTCAATTTCGGGAAAGTTTACGTTGGTTTTGAGCCCCCTGGTGCCATGGCTCAATCTCCCCGAAAAAAAACATAGCCCCTGTGCTTTTGGTTTTGGTTTAGAATGTAAACCCAGACCCCTCGAGAATCACTGTCGTTGCCGCGTGCCTCCAGCGTCTGTTTGAAACCGATCTCAATGCTTCCGCAGGATTCGCCTGGGATTTAGGGTTTATGGTTTGGGGCTTGGGGTTCGTATTCACGAGTCCGGGTTTTGGGAGCTTCCCGCATCAGAGGTTACCTTTTTGGGGTCCCTATGATCAGGAGCATTTTGGGCTCTATTTCACGGCCCCTTCTCCTTTTCAACCTGCGAAAACTCGACGATTCCAGTTCACGCGCTTGCGACCAGGTACTCCAAACACAAGAACCGTCTGTGGGCTATTATGACATCTCTAACATGCCACTGCTATTTGTATATATTTTTGTACACATACATACATACATACATACATACATACATACATACATACATACATACATACATACATACATACATACATACATACATACATACATACATACATACATACATACATACATACATACATATATATATATATATATATTATATATATATATACATGATATATATATATATACATACATGTACATGCACATATGTACATATACAGATGAGTTTATAACTGTATATATACACTGTAATATATATATATATATACTGTATGTGTAAATATATATATATATATACACTATATATATATATCCATGTATCACTCAAAGTCTAGAAGTGTACCCCCCCCCCCCCCCCCCCAAAAAAAAAAAAAAAAAAAAAAATGGTCATGCCAAGCTCGCTGCATGAGTACTTAGCACTCCAGGCTATATGCAGCAGCGTGCTCCTATGCAGGGGTTTACGAAAATAGGGGACCCCAAAAATCGACCCCCAAATAGTAGGATTCCCATATCACCCGGACCCCAAAAGAAGGTACCCCCAAATTAGCCCTAACTTCGGAAACCCCCACATACGACTGGACGGCTGAATTCCCAGCAGAGTCGCTGTATGTCGGCCGCATGGTACCCATGGAGGTTAGCATGTTGAACGCGAGTAGAGAAGCCAACATCCACAACATGAGGCCCAAAGATGCGGCCAGGACAATCCTAAGCCGCAAAAGAGGAGCATCTAGGGGCCTCAAGAAAAAAACATGTTTTTTTTTTTTTGTGGGGGGGGGGGGAGGGGGTAGTTATACACCATAAGGGAAACTGCTGGCAAATTACTACGGCCCTATAGATCTCCACGAAGAGCTTCGGTTCCTTCACCCAAAACATACTTGAGAAAGCTCCAACCCCCCTGAGCCGTGTTCATTGTAACAAACTTGCTCAACACTGATCTGGACGCATCACGGCGTTGTGGCGCACAATTCCTGCCTGAGTGCCTTGACTGCTCAAGGCTACCTTAGCTGTCAGAACAACATCCGGTCCCTAAACCCTAACCCTAAACACTAAATCAGCCCAAGCCAAGGCTTTCAGGAGCTCAAATCTGCGGAAAGAGCTGAAACTGCTGTATGTACGAAGAAAAAGTGCCACACTCGACAAACCCTGAAAGCCCACAATTTATCGCAATGACGCAGGGATGATTGACATTCGGTTTTGGGTTTTGGGCTTAGGGTCGAGGGTTTCGGGTTTCGGGTTTAGGGTTTAGGGTTTAGGGTCCAAGGTCTAGGGCTGTGCTTAGTAAAGCAGTCAAGGCTCCTTGTGGAAAAGCTTAGGAAACGCACCTTGCCCGGCGGACACATTCCTGAGCTCTTCAATAGCTCATGCATGCTCCGTGGAGTTCGGAAGATGGACCGGGATCTTTACAGGTATCAGAATGTCAAAGCAAGCAACACAAGGAACCTAAATGAGAAGAGCATGACACTTCATAATTGATGGACAAGAAAAGCCCAGCACATGACTGTCCTTCGACGCAGACACACGAAAGCACCATTCGGGTACCACGGCATCTGAGGGATTTTGCAAGTGCCGAATGGGTGGTTTACGAAAATCGGGGACCCCAACTCCAAATAGTAGGATTCCTTTATAAATAGGACCCCTAATTTCGGAAACCCAATTCGGGCGGGGGTACTACCGCCAGGTGTTGCTACATTCTGCCCCCACGGGAAGGCATCCATGGAATTCGACGGAATATAAACCTCTGCTGCGTACAGGAAGGCCAGGCGCACCATTATTGGCGTGGGATCACTCTAAACCCTAAACCCTTAACCCTTATCCCTTAACCCTAAACCCTAAATCCTAAATCCTACATTTTAGGACCGGCCGCCGAAAGAGAGCCACACGAAGTGTGAGTCATTCCACGCCTTCCGAACAAAAGTTCCTATCTGGCCTGAGAAAAGCATCTTGCATTTCAAGTATGCCATAAACACTGGGGTTTAGGGGGTTGAGGGAGTAGGGTCTGAAGAGGCCGAGGCTCAAGAACTGACCCAGCTTTCCCAATGTGTCTCCGGCGCTGGCGTCAAAGACTAGGAGCTGCTCCGGTGGCACTGTGGCCTTGACGTGGTCCTCATACCTCTGCCTCTTCTTGATGTGAAACCAGCTCCTGGGCAACCGGGACTTCGGGTTTAGCGGTTAAGGTTTAGGGTTCAGGGTTCCTTGGGAGTTTCCTGAAACTCGGGGGTGACCGACCTTTTTGGAGATCCTATTATTTGGGGGGATCCGGGACCCCTGATTATTGCGAACTTACAGTACGGGGTAGGGTTTGGGGTGTAGGCTCCACTTAGGGTGTAGGGTTTGGGGTCTAGAGTTCAGGCCCTACTTCAAAACAGATGGGCACTATGCCTCAAACCCGAGCAGGGCGAACGCACCGAAGCCGGCAGTAGCTCGGGAGCCAGACCCTCCGGCAGGCGACGGAGCTCCAGTCCCGCAGGCAGCTGCGGGCTGCGTGGTGGACGCAGCAACCTCCTTTTGGGAGGTCTCCCAGCCTCTCTAGAGGAGCCTCACCTCTCGTGTTTCGGGACCAGAGGCCCCCAGTCAGAAAAGCTGCCTGGGAGTCGGAGGCCCAGGCGCCCCTAGCAGGCACCTGCCTGAGATCTACGAGGCCCCTGCCTGGGAACCACCCCCCATTCCAAACCTCTGACTTCAGGCAAGTGATCCACATCCCCAACCAGGATGCAGCATCGCCACAAGCGAAGGCGGCAGCCGGCCCCAACCAATCCCAAACCTCTGACTTTTTGAGATTTTTCGAAGGCATCACAAGGCCACCACGCCTCCCAAACAAGGCCTTCCGGCTGCAGCATCAGCGAGGGCGAAGGCGGCAGCAAGCCCCATCCCAACCCTCTGACTTCAGGCCCTTCCAAGCAAGTTTTCAATCCCCAACAAGGACGCAGCATCGCCAAGGGCGAAGGTCCCCAAACCTCTGACTTTTTGGCCGCCCTCCCACAAGCCCTCGAATGATGGACATCATCCCTTGCAACGCCATGGGACTGCGAACTTCAGGGTAGTTGATCTGCATCGTGCCGAGCTTCTAAACTCAACCAGTAGAAAACGATAAACACAACAAAAGCACGATCAGAGTTCAGAACCCTAAGCCCGTAGAGGTTAAGGCGAGGGTGGAGCGCCAGAGGGGATGGGCTTGTGCAGGTCGGGGCACGCGCCTGGGTGCTTTCAGCACCAGCGCGTCCACTCATTGAGACACCCTGAACCCCAAACCCCAAACCCTAAACCCTAAACCCTAAATGCCTGGCGAGGCACGGTTCCCACGAGCCAAACATGACCTCATCACTCCTGCGGAAAACTTCGGAGAGCTCCGGCAGAAGGTCCAGGTCAAGTCCAGACCTTAGGGTTTAGGGTTTAGGGTTTGGGGTTTAGGGTTTAGGGTTTGGGGTTTGGGGTTTGGGGTTTGGGGTTTGGGGTTTGGGGTTTAGGGTTTAGGGTTTGGGGTTTGGGGTGTGGGGTTGAGGGTTAACTTTAGGGTTTTGGCTCAAAGTAGAGATATAAGTACCCCCCCCCCCCCCAAAGGCAACCTAACTGGGGATCTCCTTACCGTACGTAATTCTAGATTGGCCCTTAAAACCCCAACAAATATACCTAAACACAGCTCTCTGAAACGGGAAAATTGCAAAAGAACTCCCGGGGCTAGGGACTGTGGTACCCTGTATAATCCCTGGGGTATATATAGGGGGATGTAACGTGGGGTACCTCATTCCCTCATTCCCTACTAACCGACAATAAGACCCAGGGACTGGGGTTGCATCAGCGACAGTTGGCGCAAGATGTTCCCCAAGCGCAAGGCTCTGGACACGTGGCTCAGCAACTGCAAGCCTGGATACCGGGTCCAGTGGTAGACCCAGGTTGAGGCCACATAGGCCTCGTAGCCTTGGTCGCTCAGGAACCGTGTGGGGGTTTAGAGTTTAGGGTTTAATGTTAACCTCACATCTATAAATGGGGTGGCAACTGTAATATTCGCCGGGCCAGAGGGGCTCAGCCGAAGACTACTTTCCATTGCAGGAGGTTTTCGGGCCGATGTGTGTAAACAAGTCTATATAGGGGGGTCCGGTGAAAATAATAATGGGGTGACAACAGTAATATTTGGCCGGCCAGGAATCAGAAATTTTACTTGCAGAGAAGACTTTTCGAGCTCCGAGAGCAAGCAGAACCCTTCGAGACCAAGCACAGCAGACCCTGACAGCTAACCCCCCCCCAAGAGCCCCAGAATCCGCATTATTGGCACCCACTCGTTTTTTTCTACCCCTGCAAACCCCGGGGACCAAAACAAGTTTTGGGGGGGGGGGGGGTTATTAAAGCGACGTTAACATTAGGTTTAGGGAAACAGGGGACCCCTAAAATAGACCCCCAAGTTGTAGGATTCACTTAGAAGAAGGACCCCAAAGAAGGTACCCCCAAAATATAGGTACCCTTCTTGTTGATGGTCGCTCCTTCAGGGGAACCTAGAAGGAAAGAAAACGGCAAAAGGGTACTGGGCTCCCACCAAGTAGCTGTTGAGCCACGAAGCGGGCGCCCTTGTTGTGAGAATGACCTTTGCATTGGGGTATGTGCACCTCAGGTCATCAAAAAGCGCGGGAACCACAATGTCCAGCAAAGCGCCCTTGCCAGGAATGTCCTGGAAGACTTTCTGCAGATCGGGGTCCGCGATGGAGCCGCTGTAGAAGTACGATATGAATTCAAAATATCGGGACATGTAGCCCTGCCAGTGCGTCGTGTGATAGCCGAGCCTCTGTAGCACTTCCTGCATGGAACTTGTGCCGGTGCGTGACACGCCTGCCACAAGGACCTCGACGTTGTCGCCGGCTCGGGCATCACACGACTTAAGGGGCCCCCTCAATTCCCAGTCCGCGGCCGTTGTCTGGAAAGGAACGAAGGTGCTCGAGGCCAAACCAATTAACCTCGATCAACAGCTGCATCTCTTCAAAGCGTTGGGGCTTTTGGCTGCTTGTAGGGCAAAGCAACCAACAGAAAAATGTTTCTCTCTCTCTCTCTCCAAAGGCCAAGGAACACTAGCGTAGCAGACAGGCCGACAAGTATGGAAAAAAGCGGATTGCATTTCTGCAGGTGCATTGACATTGCCGACTGGTGCTGCTACAAGATGAGCCTTTTTTAGACCGGCACACAGTCACACAACTTACTTCAATAACCAAGGGGAAAAAAGGTTAAACTTTATTACTCCTAATAAATAAGGAAACTCAAAAGGGTTTTAAAGTTCAACTGAAGGCAAAGTAAGACAACAGAGTGGGACCGTGGTAGATCACAGGCAAATGTAGCAACATCCTCTGGCGAAATGAACTCGGTTTAGGGTTGAGGGTTGAGGGTTGAGGGTCTCGGGGCAATTCTTCTCTATAATTCGAGTATTCGATTATTCAGTATTCTATATGTTCCACGATGACCCTGTGCACATGCTTCTGATACCGCGAATCCCAACTTCCCTAAACCCGACTCCCCCCCAACTCCGCGCCGGCTTCGGGTTTTTGAGGGGTTGAGGGGTTGAGGGGTTTAGGGGTTTAGGGGTTTAGGGGTTTACGGGTTTAGGGGTTGAGGGGTTTAGGGTTTAGGGTTTCGGGTTTAGGGTTTAGGGTTAGGGTTTGGGGTTTAGGCAGGCCTTGTAGCAACTGCCGCAACACTCAGGTCGGGATACCCAAGCTCAACACGCCTGGAAAGACGTGTCCTGTGTTTGAATACCCTAACCCTTCACGCTAAACCCCAAACACAAGCAGCTTTTTGGACTCTTTCGTGAGACAGACCTCACTGCGTTGAAGAGTTTCGGCTCCTTGGGGTTTAACACTTTGACTACTATTTGCTCAAGAAGCCCGCAGAAAAAACAACAGATTCCTCCTTATAAGGGAAATATTCTAGGGATTCTTATCTTTATTCTTTTGGGGCTCTTAAGCAAATAGTAGTTAACCTCCTACGTGCTTGGCCCCACCATTCGGCGCATCACTTCAGACTCACCTCCTCGCCTCCTTGGTAGCCCAGTAAGCATACCCTGAACCCTAAACCCTAAACCCTAAACCCTAAACCCTAAACCCTAAACCCTAAAACAAACGTAGCAAAGGGCACCACTGGGCCCACCAAGCCTCCTGGGCCAAAATGGGTGAGCAACAATGAGCGTGGGAGCCGATCGGGCCAGCTGAGTCGGCCGTGAGCTGTTAGCATGTTGTCCACAAGAACCTCGACTTGCGGGATAGGCTTTAGGGTTTAGGGTGTAGAGTTTAGGGTTTAGGGTTTAGGGTTTAGGGTCTAGGGTTTAGGGTTTAGGGTTTAGGGTTTAGGGTCTGGGTTTAATTCGGGTTTAGGGTTTCATTAGGGTTTAGAGTTTAGGGTTTAGGGTTTAGGGTTTAGGGTTTAGGGGGGGGAGGGGGGGGGTGGGGTGCATCACTTTTGTGTGCGTGGCTTTTGTGGCTCCCGAAGGCACAAAACCGAAACATCCTGCTAACAGGTAAGGACGAAGCAAGGTCTCCGCGATGAAGACGCACTGGGACGGAGTGCTTCCAAATTGTTGCTCGAATCTTCGTCAGAAGCTCCTGTGGGATGATGCTCCCGTCCGCAAAACAGGTGGTCATCGGGCTCCCGCGTGAGGTATCGATGTGAGCTGCGTGCTCGTAGTATGAGGCATGATTCCTGGGTGCTCAACAGAATGCAAAAATCGATGTCTCCTCTGCTTCTGAATGAGGAACACAAACGTCACCCACAACCACTCCTACAAGAAATTGCTGCTCCTACTCCTGCGCCTACGCCTAAAGCTGCCTGAGAGGGCTCGTAGAAGAAAGCGATGGGCACACGCCGCATGGAGATTGGGGACGGGGTGAGAGGGAGGGAGGGAAGGGGGTCGAGGGGGGAAGGGCAGGGGGTAAACCCTAAACCCTGTGCAAGTTCATGGCTGCTAGGGGGGGGGGGGGGGTTCAAACCCAAATAGATCCTAACCGTCCTCAGAGATACTGACTCTAAAACCCTAAACCCTAAACCCTGATGCTAAGAGGAAGCTGGTGAATAAGAACTATCGCAACTGCTACTCCCTCCACTCCAACTCATCCTACGAGTCCTATTGCTCTGTTCCAGCTCTTCCTACTGCCGCGTTGCGCATAGGAAGCGCGTCGGCTTTCAAAACCATGTGGTGTCGAAAACTCAGCACTGCTCCGAACCATCTTCGTCATCGTCATCATCATCAGCATCATCATCATCTTCTTCTTCAGCATCATAATCATCATCTTGATTCTTCTTCATAATCATTCATCATCTTCATCATCTTCATCATCTTCATCATCTTCATCATCTTCATCATCTTCATCATCTTCATCATCTCCATCATCTTCATCATCTTCATCATCTTCATCATCTTAATCATCAGCATCATCATCATCTTCTTCTTCAGCATCATCATCATCATCTTGATTCTTCTTCATAATCATTCATCATCTTCATCATCTTCATCATCTTCTTCCTTCGCAGTGAGAGTCGTCCCTCAGCTAGCGTGCGCTACAGTGTGGTTCACCTTGCACACCGGCCGATTTCACGGCTTAGCACGTATGCTCTTAGAGAAAAGCCGCTTGCTATTGAAGCGGGGTCCCTGTTTGTACTCAAATAAAAACTCATCGTTCAGTCATCTCCCAGGCTTGCATCTGCTAAGGGCTCGCTGCCCTTGCGAAGAACCTCCTTATATCCTGCGCAGTGACAGAATTGGCTTGTCCGTGAATCAGTCCACGGTTTCCAGATTGATGATGCGAGGCAGGACCCGAGCGTACTGGTTGCGAGCTGACTTCTGGCTCTGACGGTAGTAGTACGCTTTCTGGTCGCAGATCAGTCGCTTGATCTGGTATCACAAGGTGCCGTGTCTCTGCTGCAAGATGCGGAGGTCCTGCATGAGCTGACGCAAGAGGATCTTCTGGAGATTCATGTGGCTCGCCACCTATGCCTCTTCGCGCATATCTATGTATCTCAGCCAAACTCGAGCCATGAGCACTTGGAGCACTGCTGGACCCTGGCGGTGAGGCCTCTACTCCAGTGGTCGTGGCTGGGCCCAATGCACTTGCACGATCATGTGAAAAGTCGGTGCTTTCACACACACGGGCAATGACAAGAACATACATATCCCGGCTAATCTGCAGAACACTTTCCGAATCAAGGACTTTTGGCGGCTGTGCATCATCAAGTGCTGTGAAGCCTTCTTCACTCGGCAGCGCTACAGTGTAGTGACCTGCTGAAGGTACATTGCCATGATGACGAATGACAGCTACTGTTTTGTAGGGTAGCCACCTTACGCCTATTGCCTGATCTGCAAGGAAAAGCGGCACTTCCAACTCGCGGGGAATGTCATACCACTGTGCTGTTTTGCGTATCCTGCCTTTCCTGCTGTGAAAGCGTGGAAGTTGCAGGAAAAGCCAAGGCATTGGTTGCACCATCGCCTGTCTATGTTCCTGGGCCGACCAGTGGTTTACAAGATCTTGGATGTTGGGGCTATGCTTTGGGGGCGCTAACAACCCTATGCATTTGGAGAGGGGGGAAGGCTCTGTGCAGGCAATGGGCTGTTCTGGCACCTGTCTGCGTCCCTGCCATACCCCTTGGAGAGACCTTGGCAGGAGTCTCGAGTGAACGAAGTCAATGAACTCGCATGTGTCATGCTGGCGCTCAGGCGCTTGCCACCCCAAAGTTGTGAACCCCAGGAGCCCGAAGGCTCTGCCCCTTTGCTGACCTTGTAGTCGCTGAAACACATTTGGCATTTGGGCATGAAGGCCAACAAACTGCACAGCTGCATCTAGGGCATAGAGAAATGCAATGGCATAGCAATGGTTGCCAGGATTATGCAAGCTGAAGTTTGGAAGGCTGCACACATTGGGGCGCGGACGCACTGTTGCAGCATGAGCCACACTTGTCAGTGGCCGTACACCCACTGAGCCAACTGCTCCGCTAGGGGAGACTTCTTGAGTGTTCCCCGTTTCAGGGAGATGCCCACAAGCTGCCAGGCCGAGCTTCCAATCAACGTGCACATTGTCTCGTGCATCTCGTTGGCTTTCTCTCCCCGTAGGGAAATTTCGAGGACGAAAGTGGCTGGGGGTTTGGAGCTCGCGTTCGCTTCCAGGCTTTTCAGTGACTGCGTACTGTTGAACTTCTGCACTATCTCTCCCTTCATGTGCTCCAACAGAAATGTGTATTGGCGCACAATTTCTTGATGACTCATGCTTTCGCGGCTTGCATCTAGGACCATTTTCTTGCTTCGGTGACAGTAGCGCAGGAATGTCCAGCCCCCCGTCTCGTTCATCCATCCTGCTGCCTTCAACTTGCCCTGGCCTTCGCTGGTGGAGGCCATTTTCTGAATCCTGGCCAGGATCTCCTTGATCAAGCACGCCATCAGCAATGTTCTCAGCGGGGATTGAAGCTCCGATGTGGAGCTGTTGTCCTGGCGCCGCTTGTGCCATTGCTCGGAGATGGAATGCAGGTTCGGGATGATGCTGGCATAGTCCTGCCTCATAAACATGATGAACACTTTGTCCACCCGTTGGGCTGCAAGCATCTCCTCGTGCTGCAGCATGAGCTTGGCCATTGCTCGACTCTGCGGGTCCATTGGTGGCTGCTGTTTCGGCCAACGGGGGCCCCTCGGAGCAAATGGCGCCTGGCGATGAGGCTGCTGCTTGCCACGCTGACCAAACAGTGGACTGGGCTCGGGTCGAGGGCGTTTGGGGGGTTGACTCATCTCCGAGGGCTCCGACAGTTCTTCCTGCAAGGTCTCCGCTGCGGCTCGCTGCAGCAGTGAAGGATCGCAAAAGGCGAAGATGTCCGCCTCCGGATTCAGTCCCGCTGCATCGGTCCTGGGACCATTGGTAGCGGATTCGTGCTATGCACAGTTGGTAAAGCACAACACATTGTTGGGAGTGACGCCCTGGGGCTCCCACATTTCTCTTGCACCAGGGACAGGTCCGGTTTCGAACCAGTTGGCTTTTGAAGCTGTGGCACAAAGTTAACGCTCTAGCATGTAGACCTGGTGTCTCACCTTCATGAATCTTAACAATGTGCTGTTTTATGTGAGTGAAGCTAGCTACCCACATGTGACACAGGCTGCAATGAGTCTGCAGGTC